TGGGGACTAACACACGAGAGGGACAAGGAGACTGACCAGGCGCCCTGGCTGCCCCAGGGACGAGAAGACTGTCACTGTGAAAACGGGGAGTCTGGGCCGGCCGGGAGGGTGAGTCACCTCCACAAGGGCCGTATCCCCTTCCCACGGCCAACGTGCAGGCTCAACACCCCTTACAGTCTGGGAGTGGGGAGTCCAACGTGGGTCTCACTGGACTAAAATCAGGGCATCCTCGGGGCTGGCTCTCCTGGAGGCTCGGAGGCAGGATCCGCTCCTGGCCCTTGGCAGCTTCTGGGGGCGCCGCACTCGGTGGCGCATGGCCCCGTCCCCCAACCACGGGGGCAGTGGCCTCGTGTCCTCCGAAGCTCCCTGTCTCTGGCCTTCCTGCCTCCATCTCGTCGGGACCCTTGGGATTGCAGTTAGGACCCACCCAAACCTTCCAGGACAGTCCCCCCTGCACTCGGGTACACCTGCCAAGTTCCTCTGCCCAGTGAGGCACGTCCTCTCAGGTTCCGGGGATCAGAGTGTTGTGTTAGTCAGGGTCCTCCAGACAGACCGCCGGTAGGATATCTGTCTCTCTGTCCATCCATCCGTCTATCTATCTACGCACCATCTTACAAGGACTTGGGTCCCATGATTACGGAGGCTGCCAAGTCCCAAGAGCTCCAGTTGGCAAGCTGGTGCCCCAGGAGAACCGGCGTTCCAGTTCCAGTCGTCTGAAGGCAGGAAAAGGCCATCAGGCAGGGATTCCCTCTGACTCAGGGGAGGGTCAACCTTTTGAGCTAGTCCAACCTTCAACTGATTGGACAAGGCCCACCCACCCTGTGGCAAACCATCTGCTTTATTCAGTCCACCCATCACGTGTGCATCTCATCCAGAAACACCTGCACAGACACACCCAGAATCATGTTTGACCGAACATCTGAGCTCCCTGGGGCCCAGCCCAGTTGACCCATAAAACTGACCCTTACAGACATGGGTATCTCTTGTTGGGGCAGGGATCGGCGGGGAGCACTAGTCAACCCAGCACAAGGACAGAGGGACTGGGCAGCAAGAAAGGACAGAGAAGGGCACTGGGACTGAGGGTCAGGGACGGGGTGATGCAGTGCTCTTGCTCTGTCCCCCACGGGGGCACGGGGCCTGGACTCCTCGAGCTGCCGGGCAGGTCCTGAGACCTTCCACGGTGGGGGCTGGGTGGGCAGAGGTCGGAGGTCCCAGCAGGTGGGAGGACCAGCAGGGCCACCCAGGTGACAGTGGCCTGTGGGAGAGGACCTGAAGGGCCCACGGGCTGTGGCCACTTCGAAGGGCCTTCAGGAGCACGGGCCCCTGTGGGCAGGGGGCCGGCTGTGGCCGCCAAGAGGGGCTGCCTCCCCCAGGCGGTGCTGCAGGGCGTCGGATGGGACAGGGCAGGTGGAGCCCAGGGCAAAGACCAGCCTCCCATGACTGCCCCCAAAACACACCCCGAGAGCAGAAGCCGCCTGAAGAAAGGGAAGGAAGTTGCTGGCTGAGCCTGCCGACCGCACAAAGGCCTCTCATCACGGGCTCAGAGATCAGCTGGGCCCGGGGCCTCTCCTGGCGCCCAGGGACCCTGCGGTCATCTCGGTGACCTGCCTGCTTCTCTCTGACTCTGTCTTCCCCTGAAGGGCTCTCCCTGGGGACACTTCTCCCCGTGTCACCAGCTGCCCCTCTGACCGCATCCCTGCGGGCTGTTCCTTCCAGGGATGACAAGCGAGCGGTGGCCGCCAGCCCTCCTCTGCCCCATTCCCGCCGCGCTCCCTGCGCTTGGCGCCTTCCCCCTGCTCCTCCCGTCTCTGCTGCCCCAGGAGCAGCTCCAGCACCTCAGGGCGGCTCCCGGGCTCCTCTGCTCACGTTGGGACCTTCCCACTTGCTGCCCTGTCCCTTTGCCTGGACACTTGCCCCCAGTGGTCAGGAGGCTCACTTTCTCCCTGGGTCATCACCCCGACCTCCCATGTAAGCTGTGACATGCCCCTGGCCAGAGCGCTGTGCCCCCTCTCTCAATGGCTCTTCGAGTGGCTGTCCCCTCCTGACTCAGGACATTCGTCCCTCCCGCCTCTGCCCCCACCCGGGCCATCGGCTCCTGGGGGCCGGGGCCCGGCTGGTCCTGCTCATGACGCGTCCCCAGTGCCCACGTGGACGCCGCACAGGTATCTCCCTGGTGCGGCTGCTCCACCCTGGACCTCTGGCCCCAGGAGACCCCCCGCAACCCGGCCTACACGGAGACCTCTGCCCAGGGCCTGAGCCTCCTATGAGGCTACCATCCTAGGAACTCAGGGCAGACCCGTGAGTGGTGGGCTGGGGCCGAGAGAGGGGGTCTGCTTCCTGCAGTCAGCACCCTGCAAGGGCATCGCCTGTAAACAGACTCAGCCCCTGACTTCGGCACTCGAGGCTCCTCACGATACCCCGTGACCTGCCCGTCCGGCCTCCAAATCTGCAGCACCCTCCATCCGTGCACCATCCGTCCCAGCCACGCCAGAAGGAGCCACACAGAATTCTCCCGCCCTGCCCTCGCTGGGGGCCCCCCAGGTGCACTCCTTCGGGGCCTCCACTCACCAGCAAAACCCCTTCCACCTCGGCTGCCCTTCCCTTGGACCCCAACCTCCCTGGCCTCTGAGTCCCCGAGTTCTGTCCCCACACTTCTCGCATGCTCTGGGGTTCTCCCTTCAGCCTGTGGGCAGAGGGGACATGTAGCTGGGGGGCGGGGGTGTGGGAGCACCTGGCTCCAGGGTTCCCAAACTGCTCGGCTCAGCTGCTTGCCACTTAGAAAATCCAGAGGCAGACAGACAAGTGGTGATGACATAAGAAAGGGGTTTATTTCCACGAGGCCGCTCCTGGGAGGACTGCGGACTGGCCTTTCCAACACGGCTTCCAAAGCGCTGGAAGTCCCTGCAGGTTTATGTAAGGAGAATGTGGGGCGAAGGTGGGCAGGTCTGTGCAGGTGGGCAGTCAAGGTTGATCACTGTCTTGGGGTCTGTCACGCGGGGGTCCCGCTGGCTCGGGGCCGTCCTTGTGCTGGAGGGCTCATTGCGGGTCCCATCAGGGCACGCTTCCCCTGGGGTCTTCCGCCTGAGTTACGGGATGAGCCGGAACAAGGAGCTTCCTCAGTTAGAAAGTACAGAGCGAGGTCAGAAGGGAGGTGGTCCAAGTCCTCGTTCAGACAGAGGGGGTTGGGCCACGCCGGGAGCTGTGCCTCCCCCCTCCCCCCCCCCCCCCCCCCCGCCCACTGCAGGAGAGGTCTGTATCATGATCCCAAGGCCTAGAGAAGCTGAGGGTCTGCCAGAGCTCTCGCGAGGCGGTGGGGGGGGCGGCGGGAATCATGTGTGTCTTCAGAGCCATGCTTCCTGGCAGCGTGTAGTGGGAAGTGCAAGGGACAGCCCTGGGTCACCTGCAGGGTGGGGGTTCGCATCCACGGCCCCCACTGCCCCGCCGGGTCCCTCCAGGACTGAACGGGGAGGCCTGGGCGTCTGCCTCCGGGCGGGGCCGAGGCCCATCCTCCCTGCCCCTCAGCTCATGGACTGTCTGAGCTAGAGTCTCCAGAACGCTGCCCCCATCATCCCGGCTGGGCGTTTGCGAAGGAAGAATAGGGGCATTGTTTACGGGACACAGGGGCCACCTGCCCCCACCCACTCTCCTTGCCCTTCTGAGTCATCGCTCCAAAGAGAGGGGGCGTTGCAGCCCCAGACCCGTTTGTCAGGCTGCCTGGGAGGGGCTGGGTGCCGCAAGGAGCTGGCATCCCCCAGAGCAGGCAGGTACTGACCGCTAGCCACCGGCCCAGCCCTGGGAAAGAGCCCGGCGGCCCTGCTGGCTGTGGGCCGAGGGTGGAGGGCTGCAGGAGTGATAACATCTGTTCCGGGTCAGGCTGAGGTGGAGCAGGTTCTCCCAGCCGTGGAGGTGAGCTGGGACTGGCCCCCACCACTGTGGGGTGGTCCCCTGCGGACACCCCCTTCCCTGATGCTCTGCCACAAGGACATCTCTGGGAGCACTGCGGCAAGATGGCCTGCCCCCACTCCCCCAAGAACAGCTGGCCCAGTGTGACCTCTTCCAGAGAAGGTCAGCTGCAGCCAGCTGCCTGGAAAGGTAGCCGCTGGTCACATCTCAGGTGGAGCCGGATGAGGATGCTTGGGCAGCACCCCTCCACGGCATCAGCCTCCAGCTGCCGGGACACAAGTCACACCTTTGTTCTGTGGGACGCATGGAGGCCAAGAATACTTACGGGAAGCCACAGGCATTGCCCAGCTCTTCCTGACACTCACAAAGCCAGCACCCACAAACAAGCAATCCACCCCACCCAGCCCAGCCGACTTGGAGCAGATAGTCCAACCACCACGGCCATCCCAGCTCAACCAGCCTGCCCATCCCACACAGCCCAGGTCCCATGGCCCATCCCATCCCAACCCAGCCCCATGGCCTCAACTCACCTGGCCCAGCCCCCATGGCCCCATCCCACCCACCCAATCCAGCTCCCATGAGGCATTCCATCCCAACCCAGCCCCCATGGCCCCTCCCACCCACCCAACACAGGCCCATGGCCTCAACCCACCCAAGCCATTCCCCCTGGCCTCATCCCTCCCAGCCCAGCCCCCATGGCCTCAGCCTACCCAAGACAGACCCCATGGCCCCATCCCACCCACCCAACCCAGCCCCCATGATCCATTCCATCCCAATCCAGCCCCATGGCCTCAACCCACCCAACCCAGCCCCCATGACCCATTCCACCCACCCAACCCAGCCCGCATGGCCTCATCCCACCCACCCAGCCCTGCCCCCATGGTCTCAGCCCACCCAACCCAGCCCCCATGGCCCCATTCCACCATCCACCACAGCCCCCATGACTCCACCCCATCCCAGCCACCCAACCCAGCCCCGTGGCCTCAACCCACCCAACCCATTCCCCATGGTCCCATCCCACCCAGCCAGCCCAGCCTCCATGGCCCATCCCATCCAACCTAACCCCCAAGGCCCCATTCCACCCAGCCCAGCCCCCATGGCCCATCTTCTCATAGCCCTGCTCCATCTCCCCAAGTCCAGCCACCTACCCATCCCATCTCCAGCCCCTCAGCTCAGGCTTCCTCAGGGTATCCATCCTCTTGCCCCAAACCCCATCACAGACCACTCAGATGCAGTGGGCTCCAGGATTCAGGCCCCTGCCCCTCCTCTTACCTGGACCTTTGCCCCAGCTTTCATGCATGTGCCCCTGCCAGCCCCTCATCCCCGTCAGTCTACTCCCACAACTGTCCCTCCCCTGGCCTTGCTCTGACCTTGCCCTTCATGTCCAAGGCCCTCAGGGACACCCCTCCCTGCAGGTCCAGCCCACCAGCTGCATACACTCTCTGGGCCCCAAACTGAGCCACTTTGCACCTGATGTTCTCCATTTTGACAAGTGACAGTATGTGTGGGTGGAATAGTGCCCCCCGAAAGCCATCTACATCCCAGTCCCCCAAGCCTGTGCATATGTGACCTGATGGGGCAAAGGGCTCGATGACCTTGAGACCAGGATTATCATGGATCCCCTGGGTGGGTGCTTCTCAGGGGGAGGCAGGAGGGTCAGAGCAGAGGGACCAAGCGCGGCGCCCGGCTGTGAGGGTGGAGGAAGAGGCCGAGCCCAGGAATGCGGGCACCTCCCGGGAGCCTCCAGCAGGAACCAGCCCTGCGACACGTCTGTGTTAACCCAGCGAGGCTGGCTAAGGACTTCTGGCTTCCAGAGCTGTAGGAGAGCACTTGGCGCTGTGTCTGTGTCTGCAGTGACTCATGCCACAACCGGGCTGGCATCCTTCTTTCCTGGAGGGGCAGATGGGGAAACGGTGGACGCTGCCCTCATCCTCTTCCTCACCTCCTGCCTCCTCCCTCCTAGTATCTAACAGAGGACCCCTGCCCTGCCCCCGGGAGCACCCCAGCCTCTGCCTTCCACGTCACCTGCTGTTCTCACTGGGCCCTTGCCCAGAGCCTGTGGACCAAACCTCCCGTCTGGGGCCTCCTCCCCGCACACCCAGCCCGGTCACCACCATCGGCCTGGCTCACTATGCACCTCAGGTGCACCCTCCCCAGGAAGGCTCGCCTGAGCCCAGTTCTCCAGAGAAACAAAACCAAAAGGGTGTGTTTCTCTTACCGTCATGGGGGCTGTGAGTCTGGGGCCTGCAGCCTGGACACCAGGGAAGAGCCAACTTGCTGCTCCAGACTGAGGCCATCGGCAGGCAGGATTCCCTCTTCCTTGGGGGCGGAGCTCAGCCTGTGCTCTGAAGGCCTTCAACTGATTGGATGCGGCCCACCCACATTATGGTGGGTGATCTGCTTTACCAAATGTGTGATTGGAAATGTGAATCACCTCCAAAAAATTCTTCACGGAAACATGCAAAACCATGTGGACCAAATGTCTGGGCACCATGACCCGGCCAAGTTGATGCCAAGTTACCCCTCACACCTGCCTCCCTGTCTCTTCCGCCCTCACCAACGGGCTCTCTGGGCGGCTCTGCGCCGCCAACCCCCCGGCCTCCTTCTGCAGGTGGCGGGTCTGCAAAGGGCAGGACAGTCTCCATCCTCACTCTCAGTTTGTCACCATGTGGAGCTCGGGGAGTGCAGGGCATGGACACTCTCCCCAAGGGCAGCCCTGCTTGTCTCCGCACTGACCAGCAAAGCCCTGGATGAGCTCTGTGCAGCTCCACCATACTGAACCCCCAACCGACACCCCCAGTTGAACAGCTCAGATCACCCACACCTGGGTCACCACCAGAGCCCCGTGTGTCCCTGCGCCCCAGCACCCACCCCGCCCCGGGCCACAAGGCCTGTCCGGGAGCTGGGGTCCACAGGCAGGGTTCAACGCCTGCAGATCCCCGTCCTTCCACAGGGATGCAGCTCGTCCCCCCGGTGAATGCCCTCCTGGGGCCTGGCCATGGCACACACCTGCGTGTGCACACCACCTGGCCGGGTGCCTGTCATCCCTCTGACCCCACCTCACGCATGCTTCCCGCCTCCCCCAGCCGTAGGGGGCTTCTCTCCACCCCTGGAGCTCACTGGGCTCAGTCCCATCTTGGGGTCTTTGCACATGCTGTTCCCAAGCCTAAAAGGCTCTCCCTACCTTCCCCAGCCCCCAGCCCCCCACTGTTCCCGGGCTGGCTCCTGTTCACCACCCAGCCGTTGTCGTGAAGGCAACCCCCCCACCCCCCCACTCTAGAGCAGTGGCCTCAGCTGTCATTCAGCCCATGCCACAGCCCGGAACTAGGCCATTTGTCGGTTAAGGACTTGGTTTGGGTCTAGCTGCCCCAAGAAGGCAGGTCCGCGTCTGTCCTGCTCACCCCCAGCGTGCGGCACGGTGTCTGGTGCCCTCTGCTTCCATGGGTTTTGATAAATAAAGGGAGGGGTCCCCAGCCAAGCTTGGGGACCAGAGAGTCAGCATGCAGTCATTCCAGGGCAGGGACACTTGCAAGCTCTGCACTGGGCTTTCGAGGAAGGTCCCAGACCTGTGGGCCCCTGGGGACCCCTAAGGGTCCCACGTGGCTGCCCGCCCCCCCCAACTCCCCAGCGCAGCCATGTTGGAGGAAGACCATGACTCGGGGCTCAACCCTTGGGGTTGCAGTGTCTACTCCAGAGGGCTTGTGAGCCACTGGGACCCTAACTGTGCCCAGGCAACCCCCTCCTTCCACCTGTGCTCGGGTACCCCCTCCCCCACCCTAACTGTGCCAGCCATTCCCAGCCTCCCCCGCCCGTTGTCCAAGGTCAGCCGACCTGAAGCTGATTCCCCCACATGGCCTCCTGTGCTGTCCTAGCAGAACTAATAGCCTGGGCCTGTGGCTGGGGCCCCAGGACACCACAACTTCACCTTCCTTCTGAGGGCCAGGGTGGCAGGCTCTGAGGGCTGGGGTGACTCAGGCCCAGGAGGAGGGCGGGGTGGCGGAGGGAGGGGAGCAGGCATGACTCAGCATCTCCGCTGCTCTCTTGCAGCCTCGTGGGAGGACCTGGTGAGAAACCACTTCCTGCCTCCTCCTCTCCCAGGGTTCTGCCCTTTGGCAGGTCCCCCTCAGCTCTGGGGCTGCTCTTAGGACCTGCAGACAACCTCTTTTCTGTCTGGGGCACCCAGGAAGCCGCAGGTGCAGAGTGCCAATGAGAGAGAGTGGCAGGCAGGGCAGCTTGCTTTGCCCTGGGGGCTGCTGCGGGTCTCAGAGCCTCCCGGTGACACCCAAGCCTGGGACAGCAAAGAGCCAGCTAGGAGCCCCCGCCCTCCTCCCTCTTGAACTGAGGGGTGGGGGCCGAGGGAGAGAAGGGCCTCGGGCGCAGTGCCCAGCACCGTGTTTGCAGGTTCCTGGCCGTGCACCCAAGGGTAATTCATTCATTCTCAAGGCTGTGAGCCTCCCCTTGTGTGCATTTGCCACAAATCATTCATCCCTTCTGTGGTCTTGGGGACAAGCTTCTCCAGGCTTTGGGGAGCTTTCCCGTTTGGGGCTGTTGTCAACATGGCTGGGTGCACGTTCTAGTCCCTGACCCGGTAGCTGGGTGCATTTCAGCTGGGGGTGTGCCTAGAAGAGGTGCCACTGGCCAAGGACAACTCTGGACCGGCTCTCGTGGACAGGCCACACGGTGTGGGTACCAATTTTCATCCCGCAGGCTGGACGGGCCAACCGCCCCGCCGTCCCGACCCAGCTGGGGTTCTCCAGGGTCTCCTCCGCAGCCATCCCCCCAGGTGTGCGGGGTGCAGACCTGGGCTCGAATCCGCACTTTGCTGACGGGAGTGAGGACAAGCCTGGGTTCGTGGGTTTACTGCAAGCTGGGTTTCCTCATTGTCATGGGGATCGCTTCCTTCTGTGTCGGGTTGTCCGTCTTCTGGCTTTGTAGTTTGTCTGTTTCAGACATTCTACATTCTGTAGTGGAGTCTGTTTTCTCTCGCTGTGGCTTGGCTCTTCGCTCGCTTAATATGGTGTATTTTAAGGAACAGAAGTTGTTAATTTTCGTGTAGTCTATCAACCCTTTTTCCCCTAAGAGAGATTGGTGCTCCTCTTTTTCCATTACTAGACTTTAATTTCTAGAACAGGTTTACGTTTACAGAAAGATTGGCTGACAGCAGAGTTGTCATAGACCCATCCTTCATACATACAGTTTCCCCACCACGAACGTTTTTCATCAGTGGCTGTAAAGCTGACGAGCCAGCATTGCTCCACTATTAACCAAAGTCCATCTTTGACATCGGGGGTCACTCCCTGCTGTGCATTTCATGGGTTTTGACAAGTGTATGAAGTCCTGTATCTGCCATTCACGTCCCATACGGTGGAGTCTCCCTGCCCTAAGAATCTGTGCTCCCCGAAATAAGTCAAACAGAGAAAGACATGTATCATATGACCTCACTGATATGAGGAATTCTTAATCGCAGGAAACAAACTGAGGGTTGCTGGAGTGGGGGGTGGGGTGGGAGGGAGGGGGTGGCTGGGTGATAGACACTGGGGAGGGTATGTGCTCTGGTAAGCGCTGTGAATTGTGCAAGACTGTTGAATCTCAGATCTGTACCTCTGAAACAAATAATGCAATATATGTTAAGGAAAAAAAAAAAAGAAGAAGAAGGTAGCGGGAGGGGAAGAATGAAGCGGGGGAAATCGGAGGGGAGATGAACCATGAGAGACGGATGGACTCTGAAAAACAAACTGAGGGTTCTAGAGGGGACGGGGGGTGAGAGGATGGGTTGGCCTGGTGATGGGTATTGAGGAGGGCACGTTCTGCATGGAGCACTGGGAGTTATGCACAAACAATGAATCATGGAACACTACATCTAAAACTAATGATGTATATGGGGATTAACATAACAATAAAAAAATTTTAAAAAAAAAGAATCTGTGCTCTCCCAGTTCCGCAGCCCCCTTCCCTTCTGAACCCCCGGCAACCAGGGGTCTCACCGCTGTCTGCATAGTTGGCCTCTTCCGGGATGTGCCTGAGTTCAAATCACACAGCATAGGGCTTCCTTCGCTTACTGAGATGCACGTAAGATGCCTCCATGAATTTTCACGGCTTCACAGCTCACTTCTCTTTTGTGCTGAATGGTCCACAGTTCACACATCCACCTGCTGAAGGGCCTCTTGGCTGCTTCCAAGTGTTGGCAATTATGAGCACAGCTTCTCTAAACACCCACGTGCAGGTTTCCGTGTGGACATAAGTCCTCAACTCCTTTGGGTACATACCACGGAGTGCGACGGCTGGATCGAATGGACACAGATGTCCAGTTGTGTGCCTCCCAGAGCAGCTTCACCAGCTTGCGTCCCCTCCAGCAGTGGACCACAGTTCCCATTGCTCCGCATCCTCACCAGCATTTCGCGCTGTCCGGGGCTCGATTTTGGCCATCCCAGTAGGTGTGTAGTGGGTCTTGTTTTGATGTGCATTTCCTACGTGGCACGAACATTGTCTCGTGTGCTTATTTACCCTCTGTATTTTTCTTTGGTGATGTGCCCGTTCAGGCCTTTGGCCCTTTTTTTTTTTTTTTAAGATTTTATTTATTTATTTGAGAGAGAAAGAATGAGAGACAGAGAGCATGAGAGGGAAGAGGATCAGAGGGAGAAGCAGACGCCCCGCTGAGCAGGGAGCCTAATGCGGGACTCGATCCTGGGACTCCAGGATCATGACCTGAGCTGAAGGCAGTCGCTTAACCAACTGAGCCACCCAGGTGCCCCTTTTGGCCCATTTTTTAAATGGGTCATTCATTTTCTTATTGTCAAGTTTTAAGAGTTCCTCACATATTTTGGAAATCAGTCCTTTACCAGAGGTGTACCTTACAAAAATGTTCTTCTCTCTGCAGGTTGTCTTGTTATCTTGACAATGTCTTTTGCAGGTTTGACATTTTTGTGTGTGTGTTTCCTCCTTAAACAAATCTTTGTTGGTTAAATTCATGATTCCAAGTTCAAGAAGACATTCTCCTTTGTCTTCTTCCTCCTAGAGGATTTCCCACTGACTTTCAGGTCTCTGATCCACCTGGAATGGATGGCTGTGTACCGTGTGAGGGAGGGCTAGACATCCTCCCGTCCACCTGCCCATTTATGGAGAAGATAATCCTTCTCCGTGTGTGAGACTCTCCCCTGTTCCGGACGTCTCCTTGTCTTCTCTGTGTCAACACCACACTGTCTTCATCACTGGTCGACACCCCAGCCCTTCCCTGAAACTGCTCTCCTCAAGGTCAGATTGCAAAATCCAGTGTCCGGCGTGCGGTCCCATCCTCCTCCTGGCCCATGGCGGGGGCCCATGGCACGGAGGGCCGCAGCCTCCTCCAACGGCACTTTGCTTGGCTTCCAGGCACTCCTCTCTCAGTTCTTCCTGTCCCCAGCTGCTCAGGCTCAGTCTCATCTGCGGTTCCCTCTCAGTTCCCTCACCTCTCAGAGTCGAGGGGCCCAGGGGCCTTCCTAGGCTCTGCCTACACTCAGTTCTGGTTGCCTCCAGCCTCAACCCCCAGCTCCCATAGCTGAGGCTTCCCAGCAGTGCCCCTTGCACGTCCGACAGGCATGATCTCAACCTGACGCATCTGAAACTGAGCTCCTGGTCTTCCGCCCGGATCCCCTGCTCCTGTATGCGCTCCTCACGCTGCCAATAATGCGCCATCCCCCAAGTCAGCACTGACCCCTCTGTCACACACCACTTGTCCAGCCCGTTGGGAAATCCTACTGGCCTGGCCTCAGAAATGCCTCCTGAAATGCTTCTCACTGTCTCCTCAACCGCCGCCCTGACCCAGGCACCCGTCCACCGTCAGCCCCAGGCCCAGGTACCACGGCCTCCGGCCCGTCCACCGTCAGCCCCAGGCCCAGGTACCACGGCCTCCAGCCCGTCCACTGTCTGGCCCAGGCCCGGGTACCACGGCCTCCGGCCCGTCCACTGTCTGGTCCACTCCTCAGAACAGCGGCAGGGTGATGCTGGTCAGGGCCCTCCTCTGCATCTGCTCAGGACCCTGAGCTCACCCTGCTCAGAGGCAAACCAGGGCCCTCCCAGTGGCTGCACGTCTGAGTGCCCCAGCAGGGTGGCCCCTCTCTGCCCCGAACCGGCGTGCTCAGCCTGCTCTTGCCCAGTCTGCTGACCCATCACCTCCTCAGTCTGCTCACATGAGCTCTTCTCATTGCAACATGTTCTTCCTTGTTCCTCCCATCCTTCCTGTGCCCTGAGTCCCCAGTGCTGTGGCAAGTGCCAAGTGCTGGACAATTGTGTGGGGGAGAGACAAATGGGTGCACAGGTTCCAGAGGGGTTGACCTAAGAGACATGGGAGTGGAGATCAAAGGGAAGTGGCTTCTAACCCACTATCATCCTCTGATTCACCCAGGCCTACCCTACCCATCAGGGCCTTGGCTCTCCCTGCCAGAGTCTCTAGACCCTGGCCCCCACCCACTAGGAGCCAGAGACAACAGAGTGGGCTCCTCACTGGGTTCAGCTTTCCGGGACACTCCACACCTGCTGAACTGACTTGGGAGTCCCGTTCCCACCAGGTTTGCCCTGGAGCACCCGGTCAGCAGGCACTGGAATGCCCTTAAGCCCTGTAGTTCTGTGCTGGGCCCACTGCCTTTGGTCCAGCAGGGGAGTATGTCTTCCCGGCCTTGCCCCACATTTGGCAGGGGCAGGGGATAGGGGCCTTTTGGGACCTTTGCACCTGACTGAGGCTACAGGGATTTAGGGAGGACCAGGGCCCAGGCCAGAGCAGCTGTGTAAGGTGGGGACATGGCTCCTGTCTGGAGCCGGCTGGTGGGGGCCCAGTGCAGCCCAGATCCCAGCCTACGCAGTCATGGCCTGTGGCACTGCCCACCCTGTGGCACTGCCCAACAGCTCTTGGTGGGCACGAGCCAGGGTCTAGGGGGCCCACGCATCTCTCCCGCACACCACCGGCCAGCAGCCACCCCGTGCCAGGCCCTGCTCTGGGTGCTGGGGGGTCGTGGGAACAGCA